CAGCTATCATCACAGAAAGCAACAAAGGTTGTGGGTTTCGCTTACAGTGATTTCGATGCTTATCTATATCCCACTCTACTTCGAATCTATATCCTTCCACGGCAAAATTGCGGCGGCTGCCGTCGGCGTTGTTTTCGAGGAGTGCAGTTGGGTCTTCTGCTATTCGCCGGCAGCCAAGAAGATGCTGAAAGCCAAGTATACAACTGCAGTGGATATCGCGCATGAGGTCGACCGATACGCCGCATTTTATATTATTGTGCTTGGCGAGTATCTATACCAGATCGTTGTCGGCTCACCTGCGGCGGTGGGTTTTAATCTCAGCTTGCTCCATGCAGTCTGGGTCTTGATCATCGCCTTCTGTCTGAACTGGTTATACGCTCACAATGACGGCGCATTACAGAGCACTCATCCATTCCGCTATTCAGTGTACACGGCGTTCGGGTGGGCTGTTCTTCATTTGCCTCTTGTCGCTAGCCTTCTCGCAAGCGGACATGTTGCCGCTGCAAGCGCAGCAGAGGACAGGTTTCGTGATCCTGAGCGTTGGCTACTTTGTGGTAGTCTCGGGACTGGGTTGTATTGTCTATATGGCTTAGCATTGCTATACGAGGATAGAGATGCGCCGGGAACGTTGATGTTGTCTAAGGTAGGTCAGCTCGACTCATTCTATGTATATTTAATCACGAAGCATCCTCTCACATTGAAACTTCAAACAGCATTTTCGCATTATTATGCGGCCTGTCATCGGACTTATTATTATTCTCCTCGGTTTAGCTAAAGACCTCGATATCACTTCGATGATGTCAATCATCATGGCTCTGATAGTATCTTGTTTGATCTGGGAGAATATCACGTCTTTGCACTGTCACGCCGGTATCTGGGAATCCTGGAACAATACAAAATACCCTGAGCAGATAATGGCCTCTGACGACTCGAACATGCCTGTGATCAGGGATGAGTCATCTGATTCTGCAAGGGCATAAAGCTTGCATATTACAGATCGCATTTATTCTCAGGGAGGAAGATGCGATATTGTGCAACTACTACCTCTATGTCCCCTATTGCAGGGAGTGGTACAGTACATGTGCACTACCTTAGTCGGGGTAATCTCCATAGAATATGTCGCTGCGATAAATACTACTCCATGCTTCGGTTTCTACTATCCTATACCCATTCCCTGTTCTAGTGCGTGCCGCATAACTGTCCCAATTGGATTTAAGAAGTAATATGTGCGAAGACAAGCTTACACGAATTTATTGAATTATTCTACGATTCATGTGTCTATGTGGTTTAATGAAATAGTCTGTCAGCTCGATGTACATTTGATAAACAAAGATGGTCCCTTGCACTTAGTATCTGATTGAAATAATCCTTCGAATTTGATCTCATGTCACGTTATATATCTATTGTTGAACCCATAGGAAAACTCTTTTCTCTAATGACTAGCGTCACTCCCTGTATTTTCATTTGTTTAGAATTTCGTATAACTTAGTGTTGTCCTTGTGTTTCTGACTGGTAGCCCTGATTCGATCAGTGTTCAATAAACAACGAGGCTTGTGTCGGTCCACAAGGGAGATAAATGAAGAAGAAAAAGTTTAATAAGGAACTGTTAGCATGTCCACCACTCGATGAAAAGCATCAATTAGTGCTTAGTGTAACCTTGTTTATACCGAGTATGCTATATACATAAATAAAGGAGAATGGTACCGCCGGAAGGGAAAGGGAGGGGGATGGGTGTATATATGAAGTGCCAGGAGATAACAACAGCTAGACTATTGGTGAGCACAAGTGCATTTGCTTAAGTGGAATTACGGGTGTTCTCGATGGGAAATAAGAATAGAAAGTATTATACTGCATATCTCCTAGATAGTACTACTATGGCACATACAACAATTGTAAATGAAATGACTAGTTATCAACCGACTAATATCGCAAAGGCTCATAGGTAAGGACGAACTGTTTATAAAAGATTGTTAAGTAAATGAGAAGCATGCCAACACCATAGCTAATCAAATGGAGAGCAAAGGCATTTGGCGAAGTCGTTAAGTATGTAGTAGTGCGTATGAACTCAAACGAATGGCATTTTAGTGAGAGATACTGAAGCTGGTTGCTCACTGGTCGACACTCTTGATAACATAACATAGTCTGAAAGCCAAATCGTTACTAAGTGACCGGGGTAGTATATATGCGTTTGTTGCTTGTCAAGCTATTCTAAGTTATTCGTCACTATGTGGGATAAATCCCGAGTTCTCATTCTTTGTCCTCATTGTGAAGCAGTATATACTAGCAACTATGATGTTCAATCAAAGGAAGCCAGATAGGCTAGAGATGATGCAATGGTATCTCCTGATCTGCCCACAGAATGCATACTAGGTTGCCTTAGCACTTGCACTTTCACAAAGGTCCGATGTTTTTTGGGCATATAGTTTGTGATGGAGGGTATCAGGTCAAGCTAGATAGCGTATTAGATGTAGTAGGATATTCCTGTGACGTGTCACCTAGATTGCATCAACAATCTAGTCAAAGAGATGCATTTGACTATAACACTAGATCCCAGACCTTAGTGCTATCGGACCTCATACAAGGCTAGAGCATACCCCGTATCACATATAATCTGCCTAATGAGTAGTAGGCCTCCGGCAATCCACGACGCTTTTCAAAAGGAGGCGCTCGCAGGATTGAAAGAGTATAAAAGGTTCCATGCGCGGTAAATCCCACACATCGAGTGATGAGGAATGGTGCCCAAAATGCTTCGACAAGGGTACAGCGAGCTATTCGGCCGTAAACTATGATTCCAGGAAATGGATGTCTGCTAGACTAGATAGTCTCACACCATGCCGTTCCAACATGGCTTGGTGTGCTTCGGTTTAGTTATCCCGCTGAACAACTCACTTGCAGCTGCGCACAAGCCGTATTCAAATGTACCATAGCATCATTCCAAGATACGTGCCTTGTGAGGACTGGTTCCTCGCTCTCATCACCTAAACATCACAAGGTCTAACGAGTAGGATGTGCGGGATCATGCAGCGGCAGTTGCGAGTAGACGTGTATTTTGGTCATGGCATCCGCAACCGTTCGCTGCAATACCATCTTGGTGGTTTATGATTGCAAGGAGCCCCTAGAACATCAAATCAGGAATTAGAAGCTTGTGGGATACTCTCAAAAGTACCACCCACAGCAGAATTCCAGTCCCTGCCTATGGAATTTCCTCTTCAAATCGGGACCGATGTTGTGTTCGCAGCGAAAAGAGCCACAAATGACCAACACTACAAGGATAAACTTCGGGCATATAGGTTCGGTGTTGCCGTATCTGTTCAGTTATCCTATGCATATCTAGAGCATAAGCCAAACTCTGTGACTTGCGGGGTTGGGCAACAATGCCTCAAGTGTTTAGAGGAAGAAAGGTCCCTCTGCCCATCATCGGGGGACAGGGATCATTAGCACCGGAGGCGAGATACAGCTATTACTAACCTTAGGCGCATTTCGCGCACGTAGTGGTCCTGAGAGATTGTTTGGAGGGCGAAAAGCCTCAGTGACAGCGCTACGTATGGTGTGGGGAGATCGTTCTAGAGGGTGAGGTGCCCGTGGCGGTGGGATTCTTTGACCGCAATTTTAGATCTTCGCCACCTGGCATTCCAGATTCCCCTCCCATGCGGAGCAAGATTGCCACTAAACGAAAACAGTTGATCGACTACAACAAGGATATCAGACGAAGCAACAACATTAGCTCACCCCGCTGGACTGACGAGCATCACGGATCTTCGAGAAAATATCTCGGTTCGTTGTACTGTACATAGAACCCTATGATCACGTGTGATTGTGAACTTTGACGACAGTTTCATAGATCCAATTGTATTAGCTCGTAGAGTTCCATGTCTCCATACTGCGTGTGTCAGACTTCTGACAGGCATGAGTTTTTCATTTTGGTAGATAAGGAGATCGGCAACGAACAGCAACATGCGATTGGATTAGAGGCATCAAAGCAAATTGGCCGAGCGTGGAGATCAGTGAGTAATGTCGGGGTCCAGTTCCGCAATTTTGTGACCAGTCAAGCGTTCTCAATTGGCTTATTGCTGATGGGACGCTTGAGGAACGGACTGGTTGATCAGATCGGGTCTTGTCGAACAGGTTTCCATAGGGGCAGGCCGTTTTGGGCATGAAACTACAACTTACCTACTTCCGATTCTACGGTAACTATTTCAAGTAACGGTGAGCTAGGGTCTGGAGTAGTATTAAGGGAATTTGGCGACATTTTTTGTGTTCCGTGACATGAATCTTTCCCGGTGTAATCTAAGATTTGGTGTGGAAGGAGGTAATGTGAAACAGCCTTCTGATGGCTCGGCACCGACATAGTGAGGGGCGAAATCATTAGTCAGATCCCAAGGGATGCTGTCGAAAATTCGAGGGCTTAATTAGAGGACCCAACTGTCCATGGGGCAGAAAAGTGGCCTCCATTGATTGGCCTCCATTGGCCTCTGGTCCCTTGAGGCACAGCCAGTTAGACTGTAGTGCCACGAATGGCTCCATGGTAAGGTACCCAACTAATGACAAGTTAAAAGTACAAGTAAGGCATGTCTGACATACCACGCTAAGAACTTGAGAGAAACAACAATATCGACCGAGCAAGTAACGCTCTTAGGCATTGTAATCCTAGTTCTAGGATGCGGCGGTTAGTGCTCTCTAGGGCTATTCTCTGGTAGAAGGGCGTCGATCTGGAATCGGAGTTTGGCTGCTCTGGCTGCATTGTGCCCTGTGCACCGCTTGTACTAGGGTTCGAGACTGTAGTCACGAGTCTAGGTATGTATGGATGCCGTTCGGAGGGGGCCATGTTTGATATCATTGTATTGGCTAAGAACTGAGGAAAGGGGAGGGGGAACGCCTTGAAGCGACGGATCAGCACACCGTTCGTTGGTTTAATCAATCTTCCTGGCAGGTTGTACACCGCTTTTCCCTCACCGCACCAATCACGAACTGACGTGCTCACAGCTGTAAGAATCATGAGGCGAATCGTCCAGAAGGCGAGAAAATTCATCCACACTGGGCCGCTTAGGTACTAGTAGCAGCGCTGGAGGACTGTAGTACATACTTAGAGGTAAGTACTTACCCGCGTACCTTAGACCTCTTGTAGGTATGTATTCCATACCTACGTCTATACCTACTTACATACATACACCTAAATACAGCATTACCTTAATATCAACTGCTATTGTTATTCATCTAGCTCCGTTTTGTGCACCTCAACTCAATCGGTCGAGATGTTGAGTCGTCTGATCCATGGAACCATGCTGACTGGCACCCCCGAAGATCCTCAGCGGATTGTCACGCTTGAGTCCATTTGGATGTTATCCGGGCCACGATCCCTGGTACTAACCGTGCGTCCACCCACCAAAGATGAGTCAAATGGGAAAATTAAAAATAAAAATCCTCCTAAGTGGTTAAGCTCAAAACAATAACGCAATTAAAAAAAGAAACTGAAGGAAAAAATTGGGAAGAAAAGGGTAGAAAAAAAAATTGGATGGACGACCACATAACCAAGATAGAGAGTGCCGTCGCGAACCATTTGAGACGCGCATGGGAATCCTTGAACATGAATTGTCTGGTACTGTACTCCGTACCGAAGGCAAGGTAGGCTTGGGCATTGTACAGCACTCCGTACGGTAATCCTCCATCAATGTTCAATTAATGAATGACCATCCATCATCTATGCGTACCCTTCGCTCATCGAGATATGTGATCATCAGATGGGGACCTGATCATGCTCCGTAGGGCACCAAAAATGCGGAATTAAGGGATATCGGCTGTCTCCATCAAGTTTAATTAATTAAGGAATAAAGAAATAGAGGGAGAAGAGAAAAATAAGGAAGTGGGAAAGAGAGCGAGGATTGACTACTGGAATAGTCTCGAAACTATGACTTGCACTGCAGCCGCTATTAGCTCCAGAAATCTTATTCGTTTTCTAATACAGCGGAGGATTAATGTCGCCTTTGTAATGCCCCAGTCATGTTGCTCTAACCCAGGTACGTGCAGCAATTAGGGCGTGAACCGCCGTCACATCTTTTTTTTTTTTTCAATTTTTTTTTTTTTCATTGACCTGTTGTCTCCACTCAATGCAGAATTACACTTGCAGAGCCCACGCCTTGACCAACACACGAAGATACTAGTAACCCGTACCCCCTTACACAATCCCTCAGCAGGGAGGAAGTGTAAAACTCTTTGTAGGCAGATGTACAGAGTACTCGCTGGCGGTAAAAGTCAAAGGAAAAAATAATAATACTAAATAAATAAAAGGGGAGGGGACAGGCAAGGAAAATAAACCAGCCATATAATGCAACCTTAATGCCGGGAGCGGTTGAGCGCTCAACAATCTCAAACGAGCAAGACCATGTTGGCTCCAGTCGGTAACAATGAGGATGCATGTTGCAAAGCTGCAGCAAACCTCCGACAGCGATGTTCAAGAACTGCCATTCAACCCCGACAGAGTCGTGCAGGATCATTGGATTTTGCAGGGTAAAGCAATCCGCCATCCAATCATGATTCATCTAGGCAAGATTAACACTTGATCCGGCCAAAAGTCAATGATCATCTATAATCAGTTGTCATCGAACAGCTCATCACAACCGTCAATGGTTGACTATCACGACGGTTAGACCTCCTGAGAGAATATGAACCATCATAGGATGAATTTTCATGTTTCGGAAACAAGAATATTTACAATATTAAGTCAACAATTTAAAAATAGGTATATACGAGGTATTAAAGCAACTCAGCAGCAAGAAGGTCTGTCTGAGTAATAACCTTGGGTACATACATACCTTACTTGTGCTTCTTCGGGATATGTACAGTACGATACATAGTACCGAGTATTGTACATACTATGTACGAGTACTTACCACAACCCTAGAGGGAGCGAACAGCTAGAATAGACCAAAGGGATGCATCGGGACTAGAATTTGGTTTATATATGGAAAATAAGAGATTTTTGTTTATCATATCAATAGTCTCGTGACGGTAGATCCTTCTTTCAAGGTTCGAAAAAGAAGAAAAGAAAGAAGAGGAGTGGCCGGGCTCTCGCCCATCGGCCAAGGGCTCCAGCACCGTATTTCCCAAACGAGACGAGTCACTGACTCCCCGCTTCCTCAGGCACGCTCAGCTGTCCCAGCCGCCCACGCTTCGTTTCTCTTCCCCTCTCGCCCGCCTCCCACTTTGTTCCTCTTTCGTTACTGTTGTCGTCTTGCGCGTTCACGCTATCTGTACAACAATATATTTTTACCCTCGTTGTTGTCATTTGAAAAGCTTTTTACTTGCTGTTCACTCGTTATTATCTTTATCAGCCCGCCGCTCTCGAATCGAGAGCGTAGGGTTCAGGTGTATAACAGGTACCTCCCGTTTCCCAAACCTTTGGTTCTTACGCCACTGATCGAGATCTCCGCATCGTTAGGAGCGCACCGTTGGGTGTACAAACCTACCCCGAAACCCCCTTATAAACAATCCTTACTTGCGCCCTAAAGCGAATATTCAACTGCAAGCTCTATTTTCGCGCCTGGAACTTAAACTCTCGAGGCGTTCATTGTGCGTGAGTCGCTGTTCTTTTCCGAGTTCTTCTCCGCCAAATCACCCCTCAGCCCCTCTCCAACTCCTTACATCGCACGCTATCTAAGAAAACACACCGCCAACCGGCACACACTGCCTGGTCCCCGTGCTTCAATTAAAGCCCCCAGGCCTGCTTGTCACTGCTTCTCGAGTGTTGATAACTCCATAAACAGCCCACCCCGTTTAACTTAATACCATGCAGTGACTGCTATTCTAACTTATCTTGGCCCCTGAACGGTAGTCCAGTGATCTCCGTCTCATAGTGGCCACCCATCATGGCCTTCAAGAACGGACTTAGTGAACGCCTCGATGAGCTGCGATTTCCCTCTCCGCGATCCCCTACCTCAGAGTCCCCGTTTCCCGGATACAATTCGATCTCTCCAGGTCATTCGAACCTCGCGTCGGCTTTTTCGCGGCCCTCAGGTGATGTCCGTGCCAATCTTCAGCGTCGTTTCACCACAGACTCCAGCAAGCTTTCGTCTTGGAGCTATTTGAACCATACTGGAAATGCGCCTCAGATGCCGGATCCCCTAGATCTATTGTCATCGGTAAGCTTTCTCCTTTGACAAGTCCTCCTATCTTCCACCCAGAGATATCCCCGTTCCCAGGCTCTCCTGGTGACAGGAAGGTGTGATCCAAACCGAATTGTAGTTGTTTTAGCATTAAATTAACGCTACCGCCTGTTGGCAACTCCATGGATGTGGCACTTCATTCTCACTTCAGGCCCAAATTTCCCCATGCTGTACTTAGCTCCTGTTGAACCTCACTTTACCTATCACCTTCAAAGTTTCACAGACCACAATCTTCCGTGTCACAAGATATTGACCATATCTCCTGGCTGCCCTCTATCTATTTGTTCTCTCATTCATCTCTCTGCATCTGATTGTTTCTAATACGTTCCTAGTTTGAGAAGAAGCGTCAGCATATCGAGTATATGCGGGAGCAAAAGAGGAGGTTCGAAGAAGATATGAAGCTACTAGACATGCAGCATGAGAAAGAGAAGCTAGAGATGGACCGAATTGCGAAGGACCTCGCCAAAGCTGGTATATCTGGCCCTGTCAGTGAGCCTACGACCCCTCCTGAGTATCGTGAAAACAGCTTCTCAAGTGGGTTTACACGGCCCACTCGCTTCTCAACTTCGTCTGTCACCTCATCCCCTGGATTCTTCAATGTATTTGCCCCTTCTCAGGCAACAACGCCGCAGGGCCAGGTGAATCCCGCCTCTGCACAAACTCCTACCAATCGCTTCTCGGTGCATTCTGTTCCTGGTTCTCGCAGAAACTCTGAGAAAGAAGATTTCGGTCAAGAGCCTGCATCCCCTTTCCGTCCTGGGCCTGCGTAAGTTTCTCTCCTCTCAAGTCACATTGATCACTGTGAATCGACTTTGTTGTAATCTGGACGTTTGTGTGTTTCATCTTGTACCAAACATCATGGTCTCGGCGCTGTGGCTGCGCTGCCTGTGAAGGAACACAACAGTTCACTTTGTTGCCTGACCTTCCCTTCACACCCCGTTATCTTGATGTGATCCTCTGCTCACATTTCTATGATATTTGTTATTCATATCTGTTTTGTTGTGCCTGATGATGGTATCTCGAGCTACAAATTACTGACTCACTTCGGTTAGTATCCATCGTTATTCGATGCCATCTGCAGGTTTTGGGTCCCAGCTTCGCCCGAACATCTCTGGCTTCAACAACGCCCCCGGATTGGAGTCATTTAACACAGCTAAGTATCTGTTCCACAACGAGGACGATAGAGCGACTTTGAAGGAGGAAGATCGAATTCCAACTCCTGACATCAAAAGTTATCTTAAGTTGACAGACCCTGATGATAAGTTCCCTACATTGTCACGCAGGGACGACTCAGGATTGGTAGGTCATTGTAAATTATTCATTTGTCGAATTCAATTCCGCTAACGGGAAGATCAGCTCTCTGCAAACTCAGATGCCTTGGATCTAGCCAATTCTCGCACTCCAAACCCCGAAACTTGGAACTCGCATGGCCGACATCGCTCCTCTCATCAAAGCATGCCACAGAACGCTCTAAATATGTTCCGACTCGAGCAGCTGGGAAGCCCGACTAGCGAGGGCCATTCTAACACATCCCGACACGCCGCTCGTCACTCACTTGAGGCAAACCTTCTTTACAGTGCCGAGGGAAACCACGAAGGTATGACTGCAACCTCGTCAAACCGTCCAACTTCTCTGCAGTCATCATACTCTACCAATGACCTCCCTACTGTAAAGGGCGATGGATTTAACCCTGCCATCACACCACCAAAGACTCATGCGGAACATTTCCAGCAACACAATGCCAACATGGGCCGAATTCCTGCAAATGCTGTCAACACCCGCCAGCGGAAGGATTCGCTAGAACGCGATGACCAAAACATGCAGGGATCCCGGTCCCAGCAGACCACCCTACAGCCTAATGCAACACCCTTTGGGCCGCAACTCACTCCGGCTGCCAGCACCAGCACTGCTGCTCCGGCTTCTTTGGCCACTTTTCAGCAGCCCTTTTATGGTTACGGTGTCCAGCCTTACATGGGGAATCCCCTCCCGGTAAACGGACAACTTCAGAACTATAATCCTGGCACTTCTTACGGCGCATTTCCCGCCTACGGCAATTACCGTCTTGCTGAAGGTCCAGCAAAGGCCATGGGATCTCGCCGCAGCAATGGTGAAGGAGAGTCGGCCCAGCTATCTCGCTTCACTAATTTTCCATTGGAGCACTATCGAGGTGAGCTGTATGGCCTCTGTAAAGACCAGCATGGGTGCAGGTACTTGCAGCGAAAGCTAGAGGAGCGCAACCCGGACCACGTCCAGATGATCTTTGATGAGACGCATGTGCATGTTGTGGAGCTAATGACCGGTTCGTAACATCTAACCAATTTTGTTGATGTAATTGTCCTAACTTTTCCAAAACAGATCCTTTTGGTAATTACCTGTGCCAGAAGTTGCTTGAGTACTCCAATGATGAGCAGCGTACAGCGCTAATCAACAACGCCGCGCACCAACTAGTCAAGATCGCACTCAATCAACATGGTACTAGGGCTTTACAAAAGATGATCGAGTTCATATCAACTCCTGAACAGACACAAACCGTGATCCACGCTTTGGAAGATCACGTCGTGGAGCTGGTTCAAGATTTGAATGGCAATCATGTCATTCAGAAGTGCCTGAATCGTCTCTCTGCGGAAGACGCCCAATTCATCTACGATGCTGTGGGTGCTAATTGTGTTGTGGTCGGCACTCACCGTCATGGATGCTGCGTTCTTCAGCGCTGCATTGATCATGCTTCTGGTGAGCAGAGGGCTCGTCTAATCGCCCAGATCACTTCCAACGCATTTGCCTTGGTTCAAGATCCTTTTGGAAATTACGTGGTGCAGTACATCTTGGATCTGGCCGAGCCTCATTTCACCGAACCCCTTTGTCAGACGTTCCGTGGAAATATCCCCGCCTTGTCAAAGCAAAAGTTTAGCTCCAACGTTATCGAAAAATGTCTCCGCACCGCCGATGGCCCAGTTCGAGGCCAACTCATCGAGGAGATGCTCTCAGGCAGTGAGCTGGAGAAAATGCTTCGAGATTCCTTCGCTAACTATGTTGTGCAAACTGCCATGGACTTCGCGGACAATGAGACCCGTACCCGCCTGGTCGATGCGATTAGACCAATTTTGCCTTCAATTCGTCAGACACCCCACGGTCGTCGCATTGCTGGCAAGATGATGGCAGCAGAGGGTTCCGGGAGGGGAAGTGCTACAACTAGCGGACAAGTCACCCCGAACGAGATGAATTCGGCTCAGCTTCCTGGACCTTTACAAGGTAATCAGAAGCCTTTCTTGTATCAACATCCCTCTTTTCCCATAGGTAGTGCCCAGTTTGGTGTTGGCTCTACGACCAATACTCCGCCCGGGGGACCAAACGAATCCCCCTCTGGTATTTTCACTCCTCCAGTCCAGCACTCGAACAACAATCTAGGTGCCCAAGGTCAGCTGTATGCATACTTTTGAGCTGGTGTGAAATATCTTGGATTCGCTACTTATCCACTGAACTGTACTCATATTTGCCATGATGATACGATCTCTATGACTTACGGCCATCTTGACATATGTCAACGAATTGGGAACCTGAAACATTGATACCACGACAGATCTTTTATCTTTATGCAACTTGCATTGCATCTTTGGATTCTTGATGATACGATGCAGTCTGATAAAAGATTCCACCTGCATTGATGTCCTGTATTCTTTCAAGGTGTTAAATGCTCATGTTTATCACATCTTTTGACGAATATACCTGCCACATCTATTTCTTCCTTGTCGTTTCCACATACTAACCCAGCTCTCCAACATTATGTTGAGCGAAGGTTGAACTGTTTCATACATGTTTTTTTTTGTTCCCCAGATTATTTTCATTTTATTTTGCTTCCTTTTCAGGCAACGCTGAACTGTGTTTTTATCGTCTTTCTCGTCCGTTTAACGTTACTTGGAATGCTCTGTCTTGTCGTTCGCTTCAGTCGTCATTGTGGCCATCTTGACTCTCCGGTTGGAACAGTGGGCTGTCATATGAAAGTTATCTATGATAAGTACTGTATGCTCTCTTGGTACTGTGGCATGGCGCCTATGTTACTTCTTATCCGTGTTTTACACATACTGGCGACGATTGCTGCATGATTCATGACTCATTGGAAGCTTGTCCCAACAGCATTCGGTAGAATAGATGTACCCATACGTTAGCAATCAAGGTATTACTATACTCATATTCGGCAGTCCTCGAATCGATATGAAAAAAAAAGGCCGTTAGAGCGTTGTCCAGAAGCAATTCCTGGAGCTTGAACATAGGAATTACTACCATATTAAATAGATATACACGTGACTCCGCATGTGGAGCGCGACGATAAGATCTCCGATCTTTTATCTCCGCGCAATGGACTTGTTTTGTCTCTGACACTCTTCCTAAATGAGACTCTTCCTGGTGTACCGTCTCAAAGCACCTTATGCTTCCGATAGAGATTCCTCGATCACTGAGCCAAAATTGGCCATGTCGAGAGCTTCAAACCAGGCAACTTGCCAGCCTTCTTGGGGTACGTTTCACTGGGCCTGCCTAACTCCCAAAGCGAATCCTCGAGGACGTGTCACTAACGATTAACTGCTCACTTTGCTTAGCCTCTCGGTCCTAGCCCTGCGACATTAGTTGTGCATGGTATATCTGCTACGTGCAAGTCGACCATCGTTCGCGCCGTCCTTTCCTCCCTCGAAGTTCCGCACGCCATTGTCCGAAGCACGGAATGCATAACAGGCCGCCATCTGTTGACAAAGATACTGTGGGCAACATTAGAAGCATTGGGGAAACGGGACGAGTGGGAGAAATATGGCAAAGGTAGGTGTGAGCATGTCAGTACGCTCGCCGTCCTTCTGAGTGAATGTTTGGCATCACGGTCTGGCAACGCAGCTGAGAAGTTCGTGCTTGTTTTGGATGGGATCGATAAACAGCGAGAGGCACCACAGACCCTATTGTCTGCGCTAGCGAGGCTGGGAGAAATAGTGAGTTGCTTTGGAGTTACCTCTATGTATGATTCAACGATTGCCGACTGAAAATCGAACAGATCCCCAGTCTCTCGGTTGTCTTGATTCTCAGCGCTACTCCACGACCACTCTTCTTGCAGGCTGCAGGTGTCCCGCACATCAGTTTTCCTCCGTATACGCGTAACGAAGCAATTGGCATTATCTTGAACTCACGACCACCTACTATAGCCGGCCTCTCTGTTGAGATTCCACTTAAAATATACCCCCATTTCGTTTCGGCCATCTATGACTCCCTAGTTGGACCTACAGCCAGCTCTATTCCCACTTTTCGGTCGATATGCGAGAAACTCTGGCCTCAGTTCATGTCTCCTATCACAAACGGCGAGACCCCGCCCGGAGGCAGTGGAGAATGGGACTTCTCTCGACTTCTTCTTAAGAATCGTGGTCTCTTTCGACATCACGGCGAAGCGGCGCTTGTGCATCATATCGTCACCGAGGAGCCGGCATCGTTTACCAATGGTTCAGTCTCGAAGCCCGTGCTACCAGCTGTGTCTACACCGTCACCCCTTCCCTCCCTGCCTTATTTCCCGACCTTGATTCTAACGTCTGCTTACTTGGCCTCCCACATCCCCCAAAGACTCGATACGATCTTTTTCTCGAAGTTTTCATCATCTTCTCTGTCAGCACGGAACAAGCGTGCCCACCATCGACGACGACTGAAGCTCTTATCTAAAGCCCAGGCGGAGGATGCTCGAACTGCCAGCAATGATCCCTCCACCCCAGGCAAAAAAGGCAAGAGACAAAAGACTCGCATCACAAAATCGACTCTAGAGTCAGCCTTTGCCACTTCTTCCGCTACAACCTCTGCTGCTGGGGCCACCGGTATCACTGGTCCATCCACCATCCTCACAGCCCGTCCATTTCCCTTGGAGAGATTGATAGCTATTTACCACGCTATTGATCCTAACCCACCGGCAAATCCCATCCTGCAAGCAGCAGTTTCCGATGCAATATATGCGGAACTTGCCACATTACGTCGACTACGGCTTGTTGTTCCTGCTGCTGGTCGAGAAAGCGGTGGTCGCATGGGATTGGGGTCAGGTGGATTGAATAGCGGAAACACCACATCCGATGCTGGGGAAAAATGGTGTGTCAATGTCTCTGGCGACTGGATTGGGGAAATGGCCAAGGGTATCGGGGTTGAAGTCGGTGAATGGTTAGCAGGAGGCTTGGATTAGGTGGTTCTTAATGCAGTGTAATAAATTATGTAATTCAGATATGTAACATCGTTCATTAGGTTGCAATCATGGCTGGCATTCATGAAATATATCATGTATCGCTTCACCAAATCCATTCGTCCACCGTATCTTTCGCACACACCAATATGCTTGGAGTTTGTGGCCCATGCAAAGATCCATTCCCAGACTCAAAGCAAACTGAAGAGATGGAATGATCGTACTGATATTTCGATAGAGGTGAAGAAACCTGCTCACCGGTTCGAAGTGAAAACAGCTGAATCTTGCGCTCATCGGATGCTGCGAATGACGAATCCGTCGGTCAGTGCCCTTCGCTAGAAGGACAAGGGAAATATGAGACTAACCACTCGCTAGGAGACCCAGTTCAGGGCTAATATCAAAATCGGGTATAATCTCGGGTGAATAATCTGAGAAACTGAGGTATGGCTTGGTCGAGGTGTGGTGTTTGCTATTGGGATTGGGGTTGCGTTGAAGGCCATTTGCTGGGTAGCGGATGTCGTACATTTTCAGCTGCTCTTTATGTTAGAAGCTCTGCGGGTATGTTTGTCCTACTTCAATGTGCAGACTCGTGGAAACCTATTGGGAGAATTCGATGAAAGGGGAGACATACTGAGTTTATTCCGGCCACAACCATGCGATATGGATCAACGCTTTTGATTTTAGTGACGGCATGCGAATGCTGGAGTCTCGTTGCCGTTCCGGCACTGCGAAGGTCGTGAAGGAATATCGCCGAGTCTTTGAGTCCCGCGGCGATGACTTGGGCGGAGAGCCATTCCACGCTACTAACCAGGGCATGGGACGAATCTATCCGTCGGTGAAGGATCGGTTTTCCCGTGTATACATCGTTCGCAAATGATTTCTTTGATAAGGCCCAGTAGCTTCCGAAGCCTTCCAATGTATGAAGCCCGTCTGAGGTGCCGATCGCGAAAAAGGGCATGGTACCTACGGGGCAGGGCGCGGAGCACCAGAGCGATGATGCCATGCGGAGGCGAACTGGGTGGGAAACTGATTTCGATTTCCGTCAGTTTGTTTTGCGTTGCGTTATATTCTAGGGAATGAGAACGTACAGCTTGGAGGCCAGCGGTAATCCCCACCCTCGTCAGGATCGGGAAGCATTCGTGGTGCGAGAAATGAGTCGCCGTTCGGACCGCTATCCATTGTCGCTCTGATGCGGTCAGCCATACTGAGCAGGACTCTGGTTGAATGGGTTTGCCCTACAGTAAGTATCCAGTATGGCTTAACGAGATGGAAGACAGCTGGAGTATATCACATCAGCGGTTGCCGACTGATTATAATTTCCTAAAGACGAATAACATACCCTATAAGGTTCTTTAAAGAGTACCCGTTCCATTGTCCGGTTGTAAGTCCATTTTTCCTGATCGCAGTCTGGGAAGCATATTCTGGTGGCGGTTAGCAATTTGAAAGCCAGCCGCCACGCACTGAAAGGCTTCGCTCACGAAACAGAAGATTCACCACCGCGATGGCCGCCTTGAAGCAATTAGCAACCGAGGTAGTAACACGACTCAATAATTGAGAAACTTACTAGCGACCAGAATCCCGGACCGTTGATTGCGCAATACATGTTTAATAGAGTATTCATCCGGCCACGGCTCAAATTGGTGCAACTGGTTTCGGCGAAGTTGGCCAGCATATAACAAACCCCGTTGATCTTGCCGGGCACTTTTGGTCACAAGCTGGGTTCCGATCTCCCGCTCTGCCCCAATGAGAGGGTTGGTTAGGAATGTTGCTCTCTTGATCTTTTCCTTTGCTATCCTCCGAGTGAGGTGGACTTTCCGTTGGCGCTTCTACGAAGTTTCAATAATGAAGAACTCAAAACAGGGTCTGTGCGGGTGATACAGACCTCCTGATCCTTGCGTTTGCGCTTAACAGCATCTTTGGAATACTGAGATCCTGCTGGCGCTTTGTGGCTTGCCTCGATCCTGAAGTACTTTTTTTTCTCTGGGTCTAGGTTTGATATCAGTATCAGAATAGGATATAAGAGAAGAATATAGAGTAAAATAGGGTGGGCATATGTTGTGACACACTACCTACTTACCGTAGTAGAACCCTGGTATCTCCCTGTTCATGTTGGATATACTATAGATGGACAGATAAAGACAATAGATTGAGTTGCACCTTAAAGAGTGAGTCAAAAAGACGTTGTCGAAAATTCTTTTCTCAAGTATCAGTAGAATCGACCAGGAACTCCTTGAATGCCAAGATATGCAACATTATCAGATAGCCCCCAGTGAAAATAGTAGTAGTAATCGGTAGTGACAAAGGTACGGGTATGTTGAATAGCGCTGGATTTCCCGTGGTTGGCAGTTCCGAAAGACCTTCTTCAGTTAAACGAAGGTCCACAAAAGCTCTAGTGGAGTGTCAAGCGCATAAGTAACAGAACAGATACAGCCGTTTAAAGATCAACCAATCGGTTGAAAGGTGACCATCATGGTTCTTGAGTCCGCGTAGGAGTTTTTCTTGGTGATTTGGTTTGGGGTATTTTGGAAAGCATGACGTCTTAGTTCGGATTATGTCAGCAACGCATTCTTCTGATTGGAGGATTAACACTATATAGCAGTAGACATTCCCTCTAGATTTTATACTTGTATTCGAATGCATATCTCTGTCGTCCATATTTGAAAAGTCTTTCAACCTTAGAGCCTCGGCTCTACTATAGAATGCTCCTTTAATGTTCTAAACAATACCTGAAGGCTAACTGTCTCATTCAAAAAGCATTAATCAATTGGTACTTCATCAACCGGTTAATCGTGATACTGTATAGTATAAGATTGAAAGAGATGGCAATCACGTAGATGGTAAGGCTAAAGGGTTAAGGGTGCACCTGACCTACTGTCCATCATTATCACACAATACAATTACTACTCGCATGGTCGCGGTAAATTTATTAGGCAGGGACGACACCGTCCTTCTTACTATTTGTATGATACAAACAGATTCCTTTCCCCTCAAGTGGTCTTTACTAGCTTTTTCTTTTCTTTCTTATTGCTCTTCCCAGTCTTACTTCTAATTGCAGCTTCTATCTGAGGCCTTCATATTTCTTCACCGAAACATTTTACATATTCTATTGAATACGAATAACATATCTATAACCCATAGAGAACCCCCTTCATCTTAACAGCTTATATCAGTCATTCACCAGCTCTCAATGCCTAGTATTCAGCACAGCTTGGACACCACGGTGACTCCTCACGGTGACGGAGCCTCTTCCAGCCAAGATTATGTGGACCCAAAGGAACACTTTGTGGCAAGAGCGTCGGCTGAATATAAATCATTTACCGAAAATGCGGAGGATGAAGAAGACGTTGAGGACATAGATGCCCTTATCGAAGAGCTCCAGTCCCTAGACGGCAACCTCGATTTCAATGACAGTGGGCAAGATGAAAAGAGCACACTCTGTTGTATCTCGGAGGAACTGCTTCAGACAGACCCCACTACAGGTCTTACCGAGCCAGAAGTGTTACTCCGTCGAAAAAAGTATGGAGTCAATCAAATGAAAGAAGAAAAAGAAAATCTGGTCCTCAAGTTTCTCTCATACTTCGTTGGACCCGTTCAATTTGTGATGGAGGTACGTATATTTGGCCTCGCATGTCGGGATTTTCGCTTACAAGCCCTCTTCTATGCGCCACGAACATAGGCGGCCGCAGTCCTGGCAGCTGGTCTCCGAGACTGGGTTGATTTCAGTGTTATTTGTGCTCTACTCATACTCAACGCGTCTGTGGGTTTTATTCAGGAGTTTCAGGCTGGATCCATTGTGGATGAACTGAAGAAGACGTTGGCCCTCAAAGCTGTCGTACTGCGCAACAGTCACCTTGTCGAAGTCGATGCTTCCGATGTGGTTCCCGGAGATGTGCTAGAAATTGAGGAGGTAATTCATTTATGTGACTTGGTAGTGACCCTCTAGTACGTTGATGTTCTAACCGAGGACAGGGCACGATCATCCCCGCAGATGGCCGGATATTGTCGAGTAACATCCTTCAAGTGGACCAGTCTGGAATCACCGGCGAATCTTTAGCTGTTGATAAAACCGACGGAGACACGTGTTATTCATCGTCGGCTGTGAAGCATGGTCATGCTCGTCTTGTTGTTACCGCTACTGGCGACTATACCTTTGTAGGGCGTGCCGCTGCCCTGGTTAGTGCCGCCGCCTCCGGGACAGGACATTTCACCGAAGTTTTGAATGGAATCAGTGTTGTCTTGCTTGTACTCGTTATAATGACTCTCCTCGTCGTTTGGGTATCATCTTTCTACCGCTCGAATGGCATCGTTACCATCTTGGAGTTTACCTTAGCCATTACTATGATAGGTGTGCCTGTCGGCCTGCCTGCCGTGGTAACTACAACAATGGCAGTGGGAGCAGCGTATCTAGCCAAGAAGAAGGCCATTGTACAAAGACTTTCCGCAATAGAGTCACTGGCTGGTGTTGAGATACTATGTTCCGACAAGACGGGTACATTGACGAGAAATAAACTGTCTTTGGCGGAGCCCTATACTGTTCCCGGGGTGAATTCCGAGGAACTGATGCTCACAGCTTGTTTGGCCGCCTCACGAAAGAAGAAGGGCATGGACCCTATTGACAGAGCCTTCCTGAGAGCGCTCAAGGGTTATCCAGAGGCGAAAAAGGCGCTCACACAATATAAAAAGCTTGAATTCTTCCCATTTGACCCAGTCTCAAAGAAAGTCACGGCCGTAGTGCAGTCTCCCCAGGGCGAGCGAATTATTTGCATGAAAGGAGCTCCTATTTTTGTGCTAAGGATAGTCAAAAAGGACCACCCGGTACCAAAGGAGGTAGAGGCAGCTTATATGAGCAAAGTCGCAGACTTTGCGGTGCGTGGTTTTCGCTCGCTCGGTGTTGCTCGAAAGCGCAGTGAAGGTGAGTGGGAAATACTTGGCATAATGCCATGCTCAGATCCTCCTCGACATGACACTGCAAAGACCATCCATGAAGCCAAGTCCCTCGGCCTGTCAATCAAGATGCTCACTGGCGATGCAGTTGGAATTGCCCGTGAGACATCGCGCCAACTTGGACTGGGCACGAATGTGTATAACGCCGAACGCCTCGGCCTTGGTGGTAAAGGAACAATGCCTGGGTCTCAGGTCTATGACTTCGTCGAGGCCGCCGATGGATTCGCTGAAGTCTTCCCTCAGCACAAATATAACGTTGTTGATATCCTCCAGCAACGAGGCTACCTGGTGGCAATGACTGGCGATGGTGTCAACGACGCTCCATCGCTGAAGAAAGCCAACGCTGGGATTGCAGTTGAAGGCTCCTCAGACGCAGCTCGTACTGCTGCTGATATAGTATTTCTAGCTCCTGGTCTATCTGCCATTATCGATGCTTTAAAAACCTCCCGTCAGATATTTCATCGTATGCACGCCTATGTGGTGTATCGCATTGCGTTGTCCCTACACCTCGAGATATTCTTGGGACTTTGGATAGCCATTATGAACGAAAGTTTGAACATACAACTTGTGGTTTTTATTGCTATATTTGCCGACATTGCCACGTTGGCTATAGCGTATGATAAAGCACCCTATTCAAAGACACCTGTGAAGTGGAACCTACCTAGGTTATGGGGAATGTCAGTCCTCCTTGGGATTGTTCTAGCGATAGGCACTTGGGTCGCGCTATCCACTATGTTGGCCGGTGGTGAACAGGGAGGCATTGTGCAGAACTTTGGAAAACGAGATGAAGTCTTGTTCCTAGAAATCTCGCTAACAGAGAATTGGCTTATCTTTATCACACGTGCGGAAGGCCCCTTCTGGTCCTCAGTCCCTTCTTGGCAACTTATGGGAGCTATCCTGGTAGTAGACCTGGTGGCAACCTTCTTTTGCCTCTTTGGGTGGTTCGTCGGTGGTCAAACCTCCATAGTCACTGTCGTTCGTATATGGGTATTCTCAATCGGTGTATTTTGTGTGTTGGGTGGTTTATATTACCTGTTGCAGGACTCAAAGGGCTTTGACAATATAATGAATGGGAGGTGGCCCGGAAGCAAAGCCTCTAAACAACGACAGAAAGAAGACTTCGGTAAGATTGCCCTACATTTGCTGTTCGTATTTTGAGTGTCTCGCTTACTGGAACTAGTGGTTTCAATGCAACGAACTTCAACACTGCATGAGAGTTCACTTAACGGGACCGATACTGGGTCCGAAACCCGTTGAATGATGATCGACCTACACGTATAGAAGCTATTACAATCACTGCCTCTGAGCGCTCCTACGGTTACGCAGCTGCTTATCAAGAATCATCGACTTCTTTTGGCATTTTGTCTTTCCCTTTGCTTGTTTGTCGATCCAACGTATCTATCCTCCTTGGCCACTCTCTCCATTCTTTCATCTTGTATTAACAATTGTCCCTCACTTTTGTCATGTCGAATGCAGCGAAATCCTTGCAGGTATGGTGGATGTTATACAACGTTGGACCGTGTCAAATTGTTCTATTCGAGGAAGCAGCCACATCCATATGAAGTGTTCTCTAGAGTGGGCTGGCGCAAGAAAGCAGACGTTTCGCTGTCCAAGAATGCTTGTATCATCCTTCGTAGATAGAAGCTACATCGTCTGTAATGAAGACATGGATCAGATTAATGATTGCAACTATGTCGTAAGATTATTAACTACCTCGGACCTAACCTGATGCTGGTGCGGAGAATTTCCAGATTGACCCTGGTCCTAGTATCGTCTGTCCATCATTCCTCCGACTTTATATTCTTACTGTCAAACAAGCATGTGGAGTTACATTACATGGGTAGGGTTGAAGTACCGCTGGGGAATATACATGACAGCAGTAACGATATGCAAGCCAACCAATAGATCAAATACAGAGTAAAGGAAAAGGCAAAAGGAAAGAAGATAAAATGTCGAGCGAGTGGGTAATGGAAAACTATGTGCATGGTTGTAGAGTGGATAAGAAAAAGAAGGAAAGTATTAAGATTTCGCTGTCAGGTGATCGACTGCCTGGAAGGAAGATGGTCGTTAGTTAACTGTGCGTAGATACTGTGTTTTCGGGTTGAGGGATGGATTTACCTTGTCAAGGTTGTAATCGAATTTTTCTAACGCGGCAAGGGATTCCTCGCGAGGGAAACCCATGCCGGTCAAGCGTTGGAGAATTTGGTCATCTTCAGTGCCGGTCTGAAGAGCCCAGCCTGGTGCCTTTCCATCATGGCCGGTTGGTGAAGTTGCTGTAGCAGAGTTAGTGCCATTGGCGGCACCAGGACTCTGGACGTTGTCAAGTGGCGCAAACAGCGCTTCCCAGTCGTGGGTCTGGGGCTTCTCGTTGGAGTTAGATGGGGATGTAGCACCTCCAGGGGACGAAGGGGCGACATTCTTGTCAAAATTGAAGAAGTCTGAAGGAGCGGGGTTTCCTGCACTAGGGCCAGGAGAGGAAGCCTTCCGCTGCGTTGGGGAGTCAAAAGAGAAGTCGAAGTCGTGATTATTCTTATTGTCGGGCG